TCTCTGTGTGTGTGTGTCTCTGTGTGTGTGTGTGTCTCTGTGTGTGTGTGTGTCTCTGTGTGTGTGTGTGTCTCTGTGTGTGTGTGTGTCTCTGTGTGTGTGTGTCTCTGTGTGTGTGTGTGTGTCTCTGTGTGTGTGTGTGTCTCTTTGTGTGTGTGGTCTTGCCTGTCTGAGCTTCAGCAGTTGTTGTCGTTTTTCTCCAGTACAGCAGCAGACCCAGAGCTATGATGACGATGATGAAGGGCGGACTCAGGACCATCAGCAGAACGTCTGCAGAGAGAAGATCTGGTTGGTTTGGTGGAACCTGCTGCTGCTATTTCAGACCAACAGCGCCCCCTAGGTGCTCTCAGGTCTTAGGACTGAATAAATTTTTTCAATAAAATTAGCTTGGGCTGAAATGATTAATCATATTAATTGTGATTAATCGATTATTTAAATAATTGTCAACCAATTTATTAATTAAAAACACATTCAGAGCAGTAATTATGATACAACAGTACAGAAATATATTCATTTTGCATTGAAGATAAAAACATCTTTGTTTATAAATAGGCTTTAGCTTCTGGTTCAGATTTACTACAGGAATGTTATCATTAAATGATAATTAAATGGTCATTTTCTTATTTAAAAAAGGAATTGAATTATTTGTTTATTTGCATCATTTAATTAGAGTCTGGATTATTAAGATGAAATTACGGTGGAAAGAAATCAGCCACTGACCTTTAAAGGCAGATTTCTGATAAAAGGCAACAAAACATTCATCATTACTTTGAATAAGTCATACATGTATTTACACCAATATCACAAACAGCCTCTACATCTTACTGCTGTTGGACTGAGAGTCGGCTGCTCTCTGCATCCCCTGACAGAGACTGCTGGTTTCTGAGGAAACTGCAGGAGAGAAACTTTCTGAAGTGGAGCTGAAACTCTGCGTGGCTGTTGGTGTGAAGGTTGATGGATCAGGTACTGGAAAATAATCCGAGAAAACCTGCATTTAATCGAAGGAGCCACAAACAGAAGCAACAAAATAAAGAACAGCCTGGAAAATTAGAATAACTGGCAGTTTGGTCCAGGCCCCCTGGAGGAAGTCCAGGTTAGGCTTCCCAGCAAACATCGTCCCTCAGACGTTTCCTCATATTTTAAGACATAAACCCTAAAAAGGACCCAATAGAAGATTCCAGTAGAAATATTCACAAGATCATATTTTCAAAAACTCACCATCAGTGACGGTGATGCTGAAGTCTCTGTCTAGATCTGATCGAATCGCTCTGTCCAGTTTGCATCGGTACCGACCGGAGTCAGACTGGGTCAGCTGTGTGATGGTCACCAACAGAACGGCTGAATTTCGTCTTTTTTCATATTCAATGCCGTACCTGCCTCTGTCAGCTCTGACTGCATCAGTCTGAACAAGAACTTCATCTGATCCACATCCTCCTCTGCAGAACAGTCGTTTCCATCCAGAGTCTTCAAAGAAACAGGCAACTGTCAGAGAGCTGCCAGCGTCTCTGTGGAGGTCAGGAACTTTGTTTCCATCCAGCAGAGCTGATAAAATAATCACCAATCAATAATCATCAGTTACTTTCTGATCTCAGCATGATAATCTGATCACATGAATCCCAGTTCATTAGAGTCTCAGTCATCTGGGTCTGATAATCATCTGAACTTCTCTTGTTCACAACCATGAAGCTTTTTACATGGGAGGTCAAACATCTTCAAGAAAACAGAGAAATCATCCATTTGTTTCTTCTGAAGCTCTTAGGATTAACTCCAGTTTTACCACAGCTAAACTGGGAACTGCCCAGTTCAACCAGCCTGTAACTGGACCAGTTGATCACACAGAAAATCCATCAGAATTCACTGATTCATCATCTCATTCTATAAGGGTTTGTAGTTGAACCTGCTTTGAAAATGTGGAGGATTAAAAGCAACTGATTTTTTTAACAACTTTTATTTCAGAGAAAAAAAACTAAAAAGAACAAATTAAGACACAAACATGGCCACAACCATCCAAAACCAAGATCAAGGTTTATGTAATGTGATTGACTGAAACACTAATGGTGGGCTAATCTGTAATGTTTTCAGCAAATGAGCAAAAACCCAAATGTGTGTTGGCTGATTTGAATTTCACAGATTTAAATAATTTATGTTCCCCAGAAAAGTTGAACAAATTTCCCAAAAGCTGCTGGTCAGTCAGAGCAGCAGGATGCAGGCAGGGCAGCACCAGGTTTCAGTTCGTCAGAGACTCACCGTCTACGACGACGAGTCTGAAGTCCAGGAATGAATCTGATGATGGAGAATCTTCCAAACCACATTGGTACCGACCGGCGTCGGACCGGGTCAGCTCTAAGATGCTCACTTGCAGAACCGGGAAAGTTCTGGAAGCTTCCCTTTCATATTCAGTTCTGTATCGTCCGATCTGAGCTGCGTCATCACTCGTTCTGATCAGGATGTTTCCTCCTTCACAGGTTTCCCTGCAGAATAACTTTATTTTTCCAGATGAGAGAAAGCTGCATGGAAAAGTTATGTTTCCTCCAGAAACTCCATAATGTGTTCCAACAGATCTGGTGCTTCTGACCTGCAAGGCTGCAGAAAATAACTGTTAATATCAGATCTTCCAGTAGGACAACATGCTCTGCTTCACACATGTTCCTTTTCTTGGAAATAAAGAATTTGTTCAGATCACATCAGTTCAACATGCTGTAGTTAAAATGTTCAAAGCAGAGAAATCATTCTCTCATAGACCAAAACAGGATGTTTAAGCTGCTAAATGAATCAAAAGTTATTTTTTACCAGCTGCTGGTTTCATAAATCTGTAATTCTTACTTTTTAAAAACTTTTCTAAACACAATGTTTATAGCTATGATTTTGCTTTTAACCAAAGGGACTGAAAAATGATGATCTAACAATTTCAGCTAATATCAAAGGTAACAACAAGCAGCTGAAATGAAGTAAATTATTAAACTGAACTTTAAGTTTTATTCTCTTAAAACTTTAATAATACAAACTGAAGATCCTCAAATTCAGTCCAGATCAGTTTCAGTGTAAAGTCTCCATCTCCTAACATTTACAGAAAGAACCAAACATTTTTCTGTTGGACTCACAGAAGAAGATCAGGCAGAACAAACTGTGATGGACCTTCATGCTGAGGCGCCGATGGTTTCCTGTCTCTCTTCACACGTTACGATTCTTCAATCAAACACCTTCCTCCTTTGATCATTACACTCTTCCTCTTTTCTGATCCGTGTTGCTGTACTTTAACCTCATATTCCAAACTGAAAACTGCCAGCAGGGGTCGCTATACAGCCACATCTTTAATGACAAAGAGCTGCTTCTGGAGACAAATTGAGATAAAATTCAGGTTGGGTTTGGTTTCGCCTCTTGGTCCGTCATCCCAGACCTCCACCCATGTGTGGTGCTGCATGTGTTGGGGAGGAGAGACGAGCCGCTAAATGGCCGTTTTCCAGCATCAACCATCGCCTCTCTTTAGACTGGGAAAGTGCCAGTTAACTTTCTCTTTAGTGCTATGAAATATTTGAAAAGGGAAATTAAAACCACGAAGAAAGAAGAAGTGAAAACCACCATTTATGGTTTCTTAGTAACATAATAAAATAGAAATATCTTTATTGTTCCACAATGGGGAATTTTCTATGGATCAAAAACCAATAATTCATATAAAGATAGAAAAATACAATATATAAAAATAGAATAAAAAATAAACACATATTGAAGAGCAGGGGAAAACATTCAACATAAATATTATGTAGTTATAAAAATAATGTACTCCGGTCCAAAGGAATGTGCAACTGAGTTGATTAATTTAAAAATGTACAAAATGTCCGTGTTTGTCTGAGCATTAAAAAGGCAGATTTAAGTAAAAACTAACAGTGTTATTCAGAATGAACAGTGAAAATACCAGCAGGGATGTAAACCCTGGGAGCAGAGACGGTTCTGGACTCCAACAGGTTCATCCTTCATCAGTGACGTCCGCCATCTTTACTGTGGGACAGGAAGAGCCCGACCAAACCAGGACCCACCAAGCGACGCTGTGAGGCTTCAATGATGCAGCAAAGATAAATCTGATGAGTTAGACTCAGTGGCAGCACAATGGTTTAGGACCCACTGGGTACGGCGCCGGCTCGTCTGACCCAAAGCTGTTAATACCATACCATACCATACCAACTTTATTTATAAAGCACTTTAAAACAACCACAGTTGATACAAAGTGCTGTACAATTTAAGAACACAACATAATAAAAGTAATTTAAAAACAGTTTAAAAACAAAAACATACAATTTAAAACTAAATCCCACTGGTGTTGAAAGCTAAGTAAAATAGATGGGTTTTAAGACGAGCTTTAAAAGTCAAAATGTCAAAATGCCTCTTGTAACTTTAGTTACAGGTCTCAGACATGTTGACCTTATAAACCACAGAACCACGAAGGTTCTGCAGGAGGAAGTGAAACTCTCAGAGGGGATGTGCCACCAGGACAGGTTCTGTCTGCTGCAGTAAAGATCCATCTGGCTGGATGGCAGCTGGGACGTCTGAGGCGATAAAAACGGCTCAGTGTCGCTCCCTTGTGGTCGGACAGAACTCAGCTGTAAAAGTCCATCAGCCTGCAGACTCAGCCTGATGCACTGAAGTCACAGCTTCAGTGCATCATTCTGCACAATATAACTTTATGTTGTAACAAAGCAGGTTACCCAGACAAACAAGTAGATCAGACTAAACCTGAGTAATCAGTGACTAACCACAGCTACAGTCAACCATCCCCAGACAGACAGTTATTATAGTAGAAAGTACCTGGTGAGAGCAACACAAGTCTATTACATGAGCTCACCTAAATCACCAAAAGATGCTTAAAAATCTCAGTAACTAATAAACATTGGACAACAAACTATACACTGATAGAAAAACTCAAAGGGTCATTTCTTCCCAGAGAACAGGCAGACGCTCTAGCACCACCTAGTGTCTGTCTGTGCACATTGCTGTCATCATCATAATGCATTAAACTGCAGCGATTTTATAGACAGGAGTTAGAATATCTGTTTTTCTTTTTGATCATAAAGGTAAAAAACAAAAATAAAAGCAAAACTGATAAACTAGAACAACCTACAGGTTTCCTACCTTGTAACTCAGAGGACTCTGACATTAGTTCAAGCTGATCAGACCAACAAAGACAT